ATAGGCAAAAAATGAATGAGTTTGTTTATCACATTTAACTATGTTGTGCTATTAAGGACATCATAGATAAAGTTCAGGTAATATACTGGGAAAAGCAAATATCAATATATAAAATTTAGTGGTTTATCTATAATAGGCAGAAGGAAAAAGCAGAGTCTCAGAAGAAAATGAGCAAAGAATTGGAATAAGGAGTTTACAGAATTAAGGAATCTATAAGTTAAGAATATGAGAAGATATCCAAAATGTTGGCTATAGTAAATTCCAAGTTTAAAAAAATATATATAGCCTTATAGTCAGGCAGTGGTGGCTCACACCTGTAATCCTAGTTATTCAGGAGGCTGAGATCTGAGGATTGAAGTTCAAAGCCAGCCCAGGCAGGAAAGTCCGTGAGACTCTTATCTCCAATTAACCACCAGAAAACCAGAAGTGGCACTGTGGCTCAAGTGGTAGAGTGCTAGCCTTGAGCTGAAGAGCTAAGGGACAACATCCAGGCATGGAGTTCAAGCCCCATGACTAGATAGATAGATAGATAGATAGATAGATAGATAGATAGATAGATAGATAGGGCTGGGAAGGTGGCTCAGAGGTAGAGTGCTTGCCTTGCATGCATGAGGCCCTTGGTTTGATTCCTCAGTACCACATAAACAGAAAAAGCTGGAAGTGGCTCTGTGCTCAAGTAGTAGAGTGCTAGCCTTGACCTGAAGAGCTGAGGGACAGCACTCAGGCTCAGAGTTCAAGCTCCAGGCAACAAAAAAAAAAAAAAAAGAAGAAGAAGAAGAAGATGTGTAATATAAAGTTATGTGAAGATTTGCAGGACTAAATATATGCATATATTTATACTTCAATTAATTACTAGACATCTCTCCAGAATGCCTATACCAGTCTACTTTCTCACTGGCAAAGAATACAGGTCATAATTTTTACATTCTTGTCAATGTTTGACATTATCTAGCATTCTAATTTTTGTCAAGGAGTTATAAGGCTATCACACGTAATTTATCAGAGACATGAATAATTTGTAGCCCTAGGGGATTGGAGGTTGAATTTATTTCCAAATAGGTAAATATATGGTGTTTATATTATGAAATGATATGCAGCAATTAGAAGTAAGAAGTAATATACCAACATAAAACTATGTATGGAATGTCAAGAAAGGAAATAAAAGTAAAATAATTTTATCAATAGGAAACATGTACAAAATGATCAGGATGTGGGACTGGGAATGTGGCTTAGTGGCTTAATGGCTTGTCTAGCATGCCTAACCCCTCAGTTCGATTCCTCAGTACCACATAAACACAAAAAGCTGGATGTGGCTCAGGTGGAGTGCTAGCCTTAAGCAACAGAAGCTAAGGGCTCTGAGTTAAAGCCCTAGGACTGGCAAAAAAAAAAAAAAAAAAGGATCAGTATGTAAAGAGCATGAACCATAAGACTAAACATTAATAAAATTGTTTTAAAATTAAAATTGTCTGCTTTTGAATAGATAATCAGGAGAATAAAAAAGCATGCCACAGAATGTGAAAAAATATACTATTCAATAATAAAAATTAATACTTGAATTTGTATTTAAAATATAGAAACAGTTTATATAAATTAATAAAAAGCTAAACAATGTAATAAAAATGAGTAAAAGATTTGAAGAGTTACTGTACAAAAGAGGATATATGAATGACTCAAACACATAAAAAGACTTTATTAGTCATCAGGAAAATATAAAGCCATAACACTAGATAACATATCAGAATGGCTGAAATTTAAAAATATTATTAACAAAGCCGGGCGCCGGTACATGAGAAGACTTTGTCATCAGGAAAATATAAAGCCATAACACTAGATAACATATCAGAATGGCTGAAATTTAAAACTATTAACAAAGCCGGACGCCGGTGGTTCATGCCTGTAATCCTAGCTACTCAGGAGGCTGAGATCTCGGGATCATGGTTCAAAGCCAGCCCGGGCAGGAAAGTCCATGAGACTCT